GGTATTTGGAATTCTCAGTAGAATTCAGGACAAAGCCCACACTTTTTCAGGAAGTCATTTCTGCTTGTTCCTTGCTTCTCTGCTTATGGCAAAATCTAATTTTCTTTTTAAAGGCTTCCCTCTTAGAGCAGGGTTTCTCAGCCTTGACCCTGTTGGCATTTGGGCTTTCAGCTAAGTCAGCCACTATCTGCTGCTGCTGCTGTTGTTGTTAGTTGCTGTTAAGTTGATTCTGACTCGCGGCAACCCCACGTGTGCAGAGCAGAACTGCTCCACTGGTTTTTCAAGGCTGTGACTTTTTGGAAGCAGATCGCCAGGCCTGTCTTCTCAGGTGCCTCCAGGTGGGTTCGAACTACCAACCTTTTGGCTACTAGTCAAGTGCTTAACTGTTTGCAACACTTGAGGACTCCTCTATTGCTATTTGGACCAGATGATCCTTTGTTGTGGGGCTTGTCCTATGCATTGTACAATGTTTAGCATAATACCTGGCCTCTACCCACTAGATACCAATAGCTTCCCACCCCAAGTTTTGACAACCAAAAATGGATGCAAACATTGCCACATGCCCCCTGGGGGCAAAATGACCCCAAGATGAGAATTACTGTCTCCGAGGAATGTTCTACAGCCAGGTTCCTAGGAATCCTGAGTGAGTATTCTTGCTCAATGACAGAAAGTTGCAACATTCCAGATTTCATTTAGAATTTTGAGGCAGACTTTTTTCTTACTTTTAGATGTTTTCACACTGGCTAATCATCTGAATGAAAACTAATTATGTATAGAGAGGACATGATCAGGATCCATTTCTACATCATTTTTTAAATTAAAGACAGATGAATACAACTTCAGAAACATTTATCGAGACATCTTTTGTTGTTGTTCTTCTTCAGGCACATGTAAGGCTTTGTTTCCTTCACTGGAATGTTCCTTATTCCGGGGGTGGGGCCTATGGGAGCTCTGGGGACCCAGTCTGGTGCCCTCAAGGCCCTGAGATGTTCCTTCATGACC